AAACCTCATCCTTCTGATAATCACAGTTCTGTATCTCGGTAGTTCGTCTGTGCTACCAGTATTACCATTGTGAATCCATTATTACTTTTAAACTGGGAATTACCTATGCAAAATATGGAAGCATAACAATTCAGTTCCAAGTACACTTTATTCAGCTCAACTCGTGCCCACTGCAAAGCTGCCATTCGCTGTCAATAAAGCACATGGCTGAATGACTATTTCTGGTTGAACCTCAGTTTTGTTAAACTGATTGGAAGCAATGAGCAGAAACCATCCTGATTGGTTTTTGATTTCAAAAGTGATAAAAAATGTTTCAGGTGGCATTGGGGGGGATTCCCCACCCCCCCACACACCTTCACAGCTGTATCATTTTCTCTCCAAATCATAAATGCCATTTTGCAGACTTCCCTCCTTACCCCACAAAAATAGCTCCCACTTGTCGATTTAAGAAATGCTCCACTGGCATGAAGCCAGCAGAGGGAGCATGAACGCCTGAGAATTTTTCAGGCAACATCTATGTAAACAATTATTGTTGTCTTGTTTTCATTTCTAGGCAACAGATCCTCAGAGACACATACATACCACACAGGCAATATCTGGACAGCCTTCCAGCCCCTTTCTCTCCAGATTACAATAGTCTATATTTTCTCCATGTATAAAGGAACAGTATTTCACAGATGGGAATCAAAGATATTTTCATTTGGAAGATACTTGTTTTTAAGGCTCTCTGGAGTGATCATCTCATGTCACAAATTTAATTCCTTTTTGAAAAGAGGTAAGATTCCTGAGCTTCAAGCTGCAGTAAATTCTTAATACAGTCTAGAGTCTTCCAGACTGGGAGAAACACATAACGAATCAATAAATACACAGTAATCCATGTTTTCCTTTTGTGCTATTCAGTGGCCCAGGGCTGTCAGTGTTTCTGACACTTTCCAAACAAATCAAAACCACTGATGTGTGCATTGAGACTGCCAACCTATGTGCCAACTTGGGCAAATGAAAGACTGACATTTGTATGTATCCCTTTATCCAGCTCTCCAAGAAAATTAAGACTTGTTTGATCTCAAAAGAAAGGCAACATTAATGTTTTCACAGTATTTTGCTTTTATTTTCAAAATTCTAATCACGGGAAGAATTGATCCTGCAGTTCTTGAGGCAAATCTCTGTATCTCCCTGATGAGTATTGTCCCAGGATGGGATCACTTTGCATCATTTCAAAGGTGTTCGTTTTCTTTTCAGCTGATTAAGGACAGAAATCATCCATCTCTGATAGCTTCTCACCAGTTTGACGGCCTTGCACACCTTGCTGACAGCTGAGGTTGAATCTGTCTCTTAACACCAGGGGGATTTTTCATAGAATCATTTAGGTTGGAAAAGACCTTTAAGATCATCAAGTCCACAAGAAATTGCGTCATACACAGAACTAAAGTATTATCAGCATTGGTGATGAGAACATTGGTAAAAAGGTTCTTTGATAATTTGTGGGGAGTAACATTACCAAGTAAATCATGGTTCTCTGCTCCCAGCTACGGATTCTGTGCAACCCGCTTTACCATAAGGGACAGAAACAGCCCGTGGATATCGTCCTGTTTCCGCCGGCATTATAGGGCTCATGAAGAGATGACAACTTCTGGGAAGTTTGGATTGATCCTTGAGTGCCCAGGGTCTGGTGTTACTCAGAGTACTTTCATAGCTGCTGTATGGTCAGGAAGAAATGGTCTGAACGTTCATGAGTCTCACCAGGGGAACATGGGAGTTCATTCATTCTACAGACAGTTTATTTTCTGGACACTTCTGAACAAGAGCACAGGCAAAGTACAGCCCAGCAGATGAGAACGTCAGAAGACAGGCTCATCACAGTTTGCAGAAAGATGGATCTCACCAGTGACAGCAGTAGAAATTCTGGCTGTGTGTCCTCCTTTCCAGAATTGCATTAATGCCTTCCCTCATTCCACGTGCCGGTGCTAAAATTTTACCACTTGCAGTATTTAATAGGGTACGTTTCATACAGGCATCTGTCTTCAAGAACTTCTTTTTGCCTGCCTGTGGAGAAAATAAAGAGGTAGGCAACTGCCGACAGCTACTTGCTGCAAACAACGAGGGAAATTCTCCCTTTGCTGATGTTTCCAGATCCAGAATTCTTCTGTTGGAATCCCAGCTGTCTCACAAATATTTTGGTCACGCTAAATCTCAGCCAGAAATCTCGATCTTCAGAGAAGTCTATATCTAGCTTCATCCTCTAATTCTCTCCTGCTAATGACTGGTACAGTAAACATGGGGCCTGTTGGCCTTGTTCTCCTCCTCAGGTTTGCAGGTGCTTGCTTCTTAAGTTGCACTTAAAGGTCTGGGCCCATCTCTAATTTACAATCCCCTTTAAAGCTTTATTATCAAAATAAATTCGGAAATGTTTTTATTGGACTTCGGACTTTTACTCTGACAGGTAACTTTTGTTTTCACATTTGGAAATGAACTCTTCCCATGTTGAGGTCACCATTTGCACACACAAATGTTATCCTAGATTTAGGGGCCAGCAAGCTTCTCAAGAATTTGTGTGCCCTGTAATTAAAATATATATAAAACCAGGTTTTCCCTTTCCAAGCTTGCTGAAACTTTGTATCTGATCTGACACACAAGAAAAACTTTATCAATTTTTGTTTCATTCTTCATGACACACACTTTGGCTGCATGTTAGAGAAGCATCACCTACTGCTGTAACCTGCTTGTGACATTTTAATGGTTATAGATGGGGAAAAAAAAAGTTCCTTAGAAAACAGGCAACTGTTCCTCAGGCAGCCGTACTACCAAAACTGCTGGTCTGTCTGGAAAAGAATCTTGCACTATCTAAAAGCAGATCCGTGCAGGATTTGCATGAGAATCTACAAAAGACTGAAAGCAAATCTGTTCCAGGAACTTGAATAGCTTCTTGCAGCTTTTTAGATGCAAAGTTTTCATGTGAAGCGCTGCTGCTAGGTTTTCCTTTTGAAGAAGGATACTGGGAGGCCCAGTCACAGTCAGTAAGAGGCTAACGCATGTCCTGAGCTTCCATCTTTGAAATTTGTTGTTACAACCTCTAGGATCACCTCCTATTGCCCCATCACTTAATCCCGGGTGGGTCACTAACGCGACCTTGGTCACGATCACGCTGGGAGAAGCTACCGTAAGGCCAGGTACGTGCAGCGGGTGTCCAGCTAGGAGAGCTGCAGGCCTGCAGGCAGCCCAGGGTGGGATGCGAGGAAGGGAAGGAGCCACGGATGAGACAGATGGCGAGAACCAGGCTCCTCTTTCTCTCCAAGCATCATTCAGATTTCCTTCCGAACAGACGCCATGTTGTTCTACAAACGAGTATCCCAATCCTTCAGTAAATATCGATGTGCGAAGCCTCGCGCAGGTTTATATAAACCACACACGACCAAGCATAGTTTAGGTGACTTCAGCCTCAACACACTTCTCACAGCTTACGGCTGGCAGATCAGAGGTGGAACCAGAAACAGCAGATTACTGCCCCGGATAAGCGCTTTGGCGTTATGAAGTCCCAGCGCGGTGCCAGAGCCAGCCCATGCGCCCAGGCCACGGAACGCACGAGGGTGTACAGCTTGCAGTCAGCGCCGGCTACTCAGGACCAGCCGGCCGCCTAGCAAGCGGGCCAGCTTCACCGCTGAAAATTATGGGAGCTGAAGTGACTTTTGAAATCAGTGTAATTTAATTATGCTTATAAATGAGGCTCCTCACACACAACCAAAAGATTACTCAAAATGAAGGAATTTGCTGTCTTGTAAGTGCTTTCCAAAAGATAATAATTTCAAGCAATCTTCTGTCTTCTTTACAAATTATTTAAAAACCGCAATTCACATCTGAAAACCCTGAGTGATTTCCCATACCAAATAAGGGCTGAAGTGGCAACTTGCGGTGTTTGTTCCAGTTACAGAGTCAGCAAAACCAGGCCCTTTTATAATTACGGATCCTGGCTGTTGCTGTTGCTGATTAATGCATTTGGATGCTCAGCCGTTCTTACTGAAGGAAAGACAAAAACGTTACTCGAGCTTTTTAATTTATTACAGGCAGAGTCCCCAAATAGCCAAGGGAAGTGCTTACACATGCAAATACGTTGAAAATGGACAGACAGGGACTCAACAAAAATACTGTAATCTTAACCTTTCAGAAAAAAAATCAAGCGTTATTATACAAATTCAGAGTAAGGTCCTACCACGTTTACTTTTTAACCGAGCTTGGAACTTGTATTTAAGTTCAGCATCACTCAGGAACTTTTCCTCAGGCCCGAGTCTGATCTTTTCCACTAGTTAGCGTGCTGAGCTTACACAGTGTGTCCTTTTCCAGCATCGCAAGCGGGTAATACTCCCAGTATCCAAGCAGTAACAACAAAGCAGTTTAATCTTCAAAAGTCCATTCGTTCCGCTGAAGGTGCACTATTAAAACAATAAATGTGTTTAAGAAAATTATAGTAGAGCGGTGTATTACAGCTTGTCCCATTTCCCTGTCGTAATTGTGTAGCTTGATGTTAAAAAAGGAATTCTGCAGCTAGAAAACCCGCACAAAGGAGGGAGGAAAACCAGAATCGCTAGGGAGTTGTTAAAAATGAAAAACCCTAATGTTTCAATTGAATAAAGCGTGTTCTGCTTTTGAAGACAGATTTCCTTAACATTTGTAAGTGGTTATTTTGTAAAAGTACGCTTCCTTACTCCATAGTTCAAAACACTGCAGCATCTCGTAACAAAATCCCACCCTAACGCACAGCGTTCAGGATTAGGTGTTGGTGCTGGAGATTTTCACACATTTCATAGAATCATAGAATTACTTTGGTTGGAAAAGACCTTTGAGATCATCGAGTCCAACCTTTAACCTAACCCTGCCATCCCACCACTAAACCCTGTCCCTAAGCACCTCATCTATCCTTCTTTTAAATGCCTCCAGGGATGGGGACTCGACCACCTCCCTGGGCAGCCCATTCCAGAGCCTGACAACCCTTTCGGTGAAGAAGTTTTTCCCAGCAAACGTTACCCCAAACTGCTGAACCAGCATAGGGGAATCAATAACTTCTCTTGGGCACAGACCTTTCTCGCCACCAAAACAGAACAGCAATGTAAAAAAATCAAATAGCAAGTTTGCCCTCTGGAAAGAAGCCATCCACTGAAGGAAAAGCACCACCTTTCTGTGCAAAGAGATGACTTCTTTATTTTAATCCCTGCCTCCAGCTCCATGGGAGGAGCACCTTCCCCATTTTTACCATGATCTATGCATGAAATGTGCTTTCATTTTGCTTTTATTTATTATTGTAACAGCTCAGCCTGTAGTTTGCATTTTATAGAGATGCAGAGAAAAAGAGTATCCAGTGCCGAAGTCCTGTATTCTGGAGCTGGAAGGTGGTAGCCCATGCATAAGAAGTCAAAGTTACTTTCCGACACAAGCTCGCCCTGGGTGTACTTCCCAATCTGCACAGTGTAATACTACATGTTTTGCAGAACTAGCGAGCCTCGTGGTAACCTGGATTAACTCTCAATCTATATTTTGGTATATTTAAGCTCTTCATTGTCATTTGCCCACCCTTACTTGTATTTATTAGGAGAACACAGGGCATTTAATTTCACTGCATCTGTCTAAAATAGCTGAAGAGTTACTGGTTAAAATGATTAGGGGTTTACTAGCTTTGTTGTTCTCACTTCTGCGTAGATGGATAGTTGCTGATACTGTGTGATCGGGAAAAGGAGGACTTGGAGTCCCGATTTACAATCCCCTGCCCCCACCAGCCATGAAGTACACTTCTCCGTGCTGGAGTGAAATGAGCCTAAGCACGGCATTGGTACAGCGACAGGTTAACTCACTTAGAAAACCCAGCATCAAAATTCTGAAGCTTCACTTGACAGAGAGTAAAGATGGATGAATACAGACGTAGCTCTTAAGTATTTTACGTATTTTTGCAAGCCAAAGCCACAAAGACATCATGGCACTAGGCTGAAGCTATGCTGTATGTAAACTCTAGGAACTGGAAGGGACCAATATAAGTAATTATTGATCATGACTTTTCTTCTGAAAATTGCCACGGTATCATGGCACCACAAGCATCAGATCTAAATGCTAGTGGCCAGCACCACATATAAATTTGAAGATTATAGATTTAAAACGTTCATGTCAGTTTTAATGCTTGGAGTTACCCAGTGAATTCCAACAAAGACAAGCCAACAGCTTCCATTAGACTGACCGATCAGACTACGTAATATTTTGATAAGCTTATTTTATTTCTTTGCTGTACAAAGGCATAAATGCAAACCATCTCAATAAATCTACATCAGTAACTACCTAGACATCATACAGATATATACAAAAAGCCCAATTATTTAACTTCAGTGTTGATACTATAGTTCATGCAGAGCTGGATGCAAACAATGCAAACAGCATCTACACGGTGTAAGGCGTAACACTTACGATATTTACATCTTGTTCCTTATAGTGAAGGTTTCTGATATACCAGTTCTATGTTACACTCCTATTTGACAATCCTGCTTAGTAGTAGTGCAGCCTCAGAACTGAAAAGTGCATTTCTTTATTATATACATACTCATAAGGATTGTGGATCGTTCCAGAAATAGTTTTCGAATCTTCATTTTTAGAAGTCATTAACTGCCTATGTCTTCCGTCAATTAAAATTATTTTGTAAGCTAAAAATTTTCCCAAAACTCTGTAGAACACATACAATTATGAAAACAAAGCTCCTAAAAGCAACTCTAGGAACTGTCGCCTTTTGACTTGGGAAGATAAGCAATCCTGTGAAAGCACTTAACCAAGCCACTGCTGTTTTAAATCTAAAACACTTTGGAACATTTCAGGTTAGTAAGTTTGCAGATCCAAGCGGCTTTGGAAAAGCTCTATAACACAGATATTTACATTCTGTATTACATTTTTGAGTTGTAATTAATCTGTCATCTCAGGTGGTTTGGTTTTTTTCTTCCCCCGCAGATCTCACTTTGAAGGGAAAGTAAAAAAGGAACATGGTTACTGTCACTGCAGGAAATACAATTCTGAGTCATTTTGCAAGCAAAATAAAGTAAAAAATAATGCCCAAGATTAAAAAGTCGACTCTTCCCCTCAACTATAAAGCAGCACTGCTAAAAATAACTTATCTTTTGTGTTCTCAGCTACTGCAATTCCCGCCACAATTATTTTTAAACCACAACATCCTGCAGCACTGGGGCTCCTGAGGGACTGTATTCCAGCCAATCTTGTTTTAGGAGATCAAAATACCCCATCCCGCCTTCTGTCTGCTCTCCCTTAAGACAGGGCAGTAACGAGCCAGAGCGGCACGCTCTCTTGTTTCAGACAGCATCTTCACCCCCATGACAACTATTTCAGCTGAGCTGCTGGACTCTGCAGCGAGGCAGCCGAGAACTGACACACACTGTTCCATCCACAGAGCCCCGCTCCGGCAGGAAACCAGTAACGAGCGAAGGAAGGAAAGGGCTCAGGGAATGAGAGTGCCTTGCTATGCGCACACGTGCCCGACTTGCTGACCTCCCACTGTTGTGAGGTAACACAGCAGCACAGGCTTCTCTTTCAGGTGTTTCCCACAAACCATGCCCCAAAAGTTATCCTTGTACAGTACAGTTTTCAACTTTATCACGGTATAACTGTCTTTAAAAAAAAAAAAATCTTACGCAGGAATAAAATGTAAAGGAATAAATTGTAAAGGGAAGACACTACCTTCATCAGGAGGAGTTTCGGAAGCGACAGGATCCATGTCTTCAAAAGTTTTGGCACCTGGCTTCTCTTGTTCCACCTCACACAGATATACATCTATGGGTCCTTTTGTGCTCTTCACGTGTACTTCTATGCAATCCTATAAAACAGTGACTTGCATATAAACCAAAGAACAAATCTCGCACATCAGTTACCTATTTTTGCACATACTTGAAAGCCAAGAGATTAAGAACAGAACAAATACAAATACACAACTATTTAAAACTGTGTTACTAGTTCTACATAAATGATGTTTATTACATAGATTTTTAGGCCAGTTATTAAGCACCATTAAACTACAAAGGTTTCATTTTTGATGGACATGCACCTAACAAATCTTTGTTTACTCTTTTTACTGACCTTTAGATATACGACCAAGATTTACTATACATGTAGGAAGAGTAACAGAATTTAAAACTTGACAAGTCAATGCCATCGGAGCACAGAGCAGCTTTAATAATATGGCAAAGCAACTAAACCATATTACTTTTACCGCATTCCTTTAGCAGACATCACATTGCAAGGCACAAAGCAAACCAAATCTAATGGGACAACGGAGAGAAGATTCTGTTCTCTCTAAAGTGCGACTTTCTAAATCCTGCCGCCTTTTGCTTCAGGAAGCCTCTGAAATCTTATCTTTTTCACCTCCACAGGATGAGAGCCAGCTCCTTTTACCAGTGAAACCACTGGAGATCTACACAGTGGAATCTTCTGGTTCTACTGACATGTATCTCCTTTTCCTACAATATCACCTCCCTTTCTGTGCATGCTGCAAGGCAAATTTGATGACTACACAATTAAGAACTTCATAAAAAATGCACACGCAAAAGGAAAACAGAATTAAAGCTCCATTTGTTATCTTAAGCTTACTTCCAGTATTCCCCCTTTCACAGCACTACAGCAGGTTTCCAGTGACTGGGTGCAGAGGGCAAAGCTACAGCTCCTCTGCATGACCTGAACGAGAGGACTGTGGTGTACCACAAAGTGAGGACTGGGCGCAGCTCCCCACCTCCATGAAAAATCCATCTTGACATGATCTACCAGAGTGCCAAAATGCTTTCTTTTGTCAAGCATACTCAGCGTTTCATACTTTAGTATTATAGTAACAACAGCTGCCTACTCGTTAAGCAGTAAGACGGGATTTACGTACTGTTAAGATCATTATCAAATCATGCTTATCGCTTTGGTTAGATTTACAATTTTTGGAGATTTTAGTATACAAAGAGTAACAGCTCTTTGGAAGTTTCATTATCCTAGTAATTATCAAACAAAGTGATAGCAGAAATAAGTAACTTTATTACAGCTGTTCCATACTCTAGAGCAAAACCAAATAACTACAGCTCAGACATGTTTATTGTTTAATAATTTAGGTAAACAAAAAAAAATACTGCAAAGAAGCTTCTTAGACTTATTATCCCTACAGCATTGTTTAGTAGAACACAAGAACAATAAAGCACCAGTATTTGCTATACATGACAAAGAAACTGGGAAGTTAATTACTGATTGCTGCTGCAAAAATAAAATTTGAGAACTTTTGTTCCCTTAAGGAAGAAATGTATAGAACTTACTTCTTTAGGAATTGGTATTTCCAATCTGGTTTCCTCTGGAGCTTTGATTGCAATCACCATCTGTTCCTGAAATGCTTGAATGCTACGGATATCTTGATATGTCACATAAGCTAGTGTATACATTGGTCAAGGATTCGTCTAAGTAATTTGCTAATGGGCAGAAGCAAGGAGTATGACAGTAAGATATGTTGAAGCAGAATACCAACTTAAGGAAAGTAGTAAATAGTTCAGCTGAGGTTACTTTAATACTAGCTTTGTAAAATTAAGTATTAGCTAACAAGTGGAAAAACTTCCTTCTTTATTTCTAGGAAGGAAAAAGCTTTGAAAAAAAAAAAAAAGCCAAACCAACCCTGAGATGGTCAATATTAAAAACCCAAACAAATTTGACAAACAGTTTTCACAGACGCTGTCATAATTTTAGAAAGCAGAGGGACTGCTGCCCTTGAGAATTTACTTCTTTGTTTTGTAATAACTATGCATGTAAATAATTTCCTAGAAAACTATGGAATTACTCTTTTAACTGGAACAGGTAAGGTGTAGTGAAAAGTCTTCCTGCTATCATCCAGCACATGGACACATCTCATTTGAGCACAGACCTTAATATTCTGCCAGACAAAGGAACTAAGTAATATTTTATTGTAACCTAACGCCAAAATCCAATGTTTATGTCATATTAAAAGAAATCTCTTTTCTGTTATCAAAACCCCTCCGAAAGACAAGACTGCATTGGAACCTCTCTCAAGAGACAGAACAGTATTAGGACACAACCAATGCACCATTGTGTCTTCCTGGCAACAGGCGGCTAGGACTGTTTTGGGTCCTCTTTTCTCACCTCACTAAGCAACTCACTCTCACTGATAGATCACGACCTGCCCCCGAGGCAACTTTATAATGGAGAGAACAAGGTGACGGTCAGGGTACTAAGACCATTGCCCTATTTCCATTCTTCTGCACTGGAAAGGTCACACAACTGGCATTCCCCCGAGAACAGGCTAGATTGCACATGATACTGCAAAGCAGGGCACATGAGCAGTATACACTAATATAAAATAACCAATAAGTTTCCTATTATAAAACTCATTATCAAGTATTACTGCATACCTGTGGTATCAGCCTACATCTAACACTAGATACCTGAGCACCTGCAACCAAAACCATGTGTTGAAGCAATGCAAGAGTTAAAAGGATATTTTGCATTTTCTTTGTCATCTGTTAGTTCAAATAGTTGATGAGCACAATCCTTGATTAATTCATCCAGAGCTTCTTCCATGGCTGACAAGTCAGAAAGTTCATCTTTAAGGTTTTGCTGCTCTGGTGCTTTTCCAACAACTTGGTCAAGATTAGAACCTCTAGAAGAATATGAAAGTTGTCTAGTATGCCTATATGAATAAGAGCCTGTTTACTGAACACAAAGTGGACTAACAGAAAACAACAAGGAACGCTGGCATCCTTTAGTCTGCTGAAATATGCTTCATTGTGCTTTTGCATTTGGTACTTGTTAATATAGTAAGTAATTCAGACAGCCAAGGATATAGAAGAACTTAAAATATTTTTATCTATTAAAACTAATTCGGTATGCTTAAAAGTACTCCCAAAGTTATAAACATTACTCAACATTGTAGGGTTTTATTGTTTCAGAAATTAGAAGTTTCAAAGCCAACTCACACCCACTGGATAAGATTCTTAGATCTTTTCTGAATTAAGTGGATTCCATCCAACACATTGGTGATGTCATACACTCTTCGTTTTCGTACTCCCAGAGTTGTTGCTACTTCATTTAAATCAAGGACACCATCTGGAGCTGTTTTGACAAGATCCATGAATTTTTGGGTCAAATAAACCAAGGATGCATCAAATCGAGGCTTTTTGACTTTCAGAGTTCCTGTAAAGTTTTGATAGAACATTTAGGGTAAACTACTACACAAGCATGAGTGTTCCGTAAAAAAAACCAATAGTGATGAAGTAGCAATGAAGATAAAAGTCTGAAAACACTGTCATTATTAACGCTGACATTGCCATGGCATCATATGAAGTCTATTAACTACATATACCTTCATTTGTTTGCTATGATCGTATCTTAATAGCAAGCACGTGCCTTTATGCTTTCAACATTCATGACTTCAGACTGCTGGTCTGGACATTAACAGGTATGTAACTGTATGTCCTGTAGGAGCTCAGACTACTGAATGACTACCCATGAAACCTTCGGTTAACTACAAATAGTGTCAGGGCACTGCCAGAGAACTGCAGCTCTATCACTTGCTCCATGACACTGTGAAAGTGTTTTTTTCACACCCTTTTGTCCCAGATTAACCAGTAGATCTCCCAGATAACATTCAGGCATGGTTCAGGAGTTAGCCTGGTTTCAGGGACTGCTTCAGCCTGGATGTGACCAATCTGTTCTGGAGTCTGAGAACTTAATATATAAACAAACCCTGGCTGTACTATTTGGCCTCAGGACAAAAGAATTGGTGATGCCATTGTTTAATTACTAATGCAACAAAGATCTACAGACATCAGAACATCGCAGGTTTAAGAGAGATCCCTGTGCTATGTCTATCTGTTACGAACACTTCACAGAAACAGCAGAAAAGTTACTGACAAACAGCTTGTTTAACTTTAGATTGTTATTTGTTTGCATAAAGCACAAAAAAGTATGCGTTTTTAAATAAAGCACAAAAAAGACACAGTACACATGCACTCATCTGATGAGTCAATGAAAGACTGTCAAATCCCGCTGTTACTTGTCTTTCTCCTGCAAAGCAAACCAGGTATTTCGTATCTGATCAAACCGAGTAATATTCCAGTCTAACGCTTCAAGAGAACGCGTGTGCATGTGTTCGTGCACATGGGTGTGTGTGTAAGGAAACACTCTACTCCAAACTTCAGTACTTTTCCAAGGATGAAGGAGACACGCATTTTTACTCATAGTATATCACACCCATTCCATAGCTGCAAGATTTGTGCAATCTTTAACATGAAGTGACAGGTACACCAAATCAGTTTTGGACTGTGTTACTGTGAGATGTGCAAGACTATTCAATTGTGGAGAAAAAAAGAAAAAAAAACCAATGCATATTCACTCAAGCTTCTATTAACATTTGTTAAAATTGCTTGAAAACCAACATCTGCCAGCACAGTGTTCCATTTTTCTCTAACTTACTTTTCCCATAATTTCTTTACAGCAGTGGGAAGGTATACTTGCAGCAGATTTAAAGAGGAAAAGCTATGGAGAATGTGTTGTTTCGCTTTGTATCTGTTATCTAGTGCATTCCTCCTGTTCTACCTGTATTAGATATATTACAATTTCTGATTTGTTTACAGCATGTACTCAGCATTGTAAAAAAGCATGAAATACTTCAGGAATAATCTTCCTGCATGGAATACAGCAACTTACTTCTCACAAACTGTACATCATCGTCCACGTTCAGGTTGATCATTGGTGGCTGGGGACAAAACAACAAAAAATACAACTGACATAAAATGTTATTTACACTGGAAGCTTAGAATCATAGAATACTTTAGGTTGGAAGGGACCTTTAGAGGTCATGTAGCCCAACCCCCCTGCAGTGAGCAGGGACATCTTCAACCAGATCAGGTTGCTCAGAGCCCTGTCCAACCTGACCTTGAATGTTTCTAGGGATGGGGCCTCCACTACCTCTCTGAATAACTCATTCCAGTGTTTCACCACCCTCATCGTAAAAAAGTTCTTCCTTATGTCTAGTCTAAATCTACCCTGTTTTAGTTTTAAAATCATTACCTGTCACAGCAGGCTTTGCTAAAAAGATTGTCCCCATCTTTCCTTTAGGCCCCCTTTAAGTACTGAAAGGCTGCAATAAGCTCTCCCCGCAGACTTCTCTTCTCCAGGCTGAACAACCCCAACTCTCTCAGGCTGTCCTCGTAGGAGGGGTGCTCCAAAAAGAAAGATTTCTCCAGAAGAAATCTCCAAATCAACTCTAGATGCTACAGAGTGCTAACAACTCAACAGATATGGTGAAGGAGTGTCACTCATCAATTTCTGTCAGAATTTTAAGCCCTTAGTGTCAGCTCATCTCCCTCTGTCTTGGAAAGCAAAAAACACCACCAAACTCCCTAATGCGGTGCAATGTTCATAACACAGATACCTGTATAAACTCTGCAAATGCAAGCTTCAGCTATTCCATGTAAAAGCTCACATGCAGAAGATACCCTGCTATCATACGGCATTACAGTTGTGTGTAGTACATCTCCAGACTGACAGCAGTCTGCTCTGGCCAAGAATCTGACACGATGAGCGTAAGTGGGTACTTCATTCCACCCCTCACCCCAGTGTAACAAAAGGAGTATTTTCAAATTCAGACTCATTCCAGTTGGAAGACACCTGAGGAGGTTTCTGGTCCAACCTCCTGCTCCAAACAGGAACAGCCATTAGATCAGAGCAGCTTAACTCAAGGCTTTATTCAAGTGGGTCTTAGAAATTTCAAGGGATGGAGGCTACACCTCTCTGGGCATCCCACTCCGCTGCTTGCCCATCCTCACAGTAGAAAAGTTTCACTTTACTTCAAGTTGCAACCTCTCTTGCTTCTTTTATTTCAAATTCATGGCTACTTCCTTTCAGCCACCCATCATGCATGTCTGTGAAGTGCCTGGCATCAGCTTGTTACTAACTTCCCTGCAAGTACTGAGGCGCTGCTGTGGCTTAACAAGCTCCCTCAGCAGTTTAGAATCATAGAATCACTTTGGTTGGAAAAGACCTTTGAGATCATCGAGTCCAGCCTTTAACCTAACCCTGCCATCCCACCACTAAACCATG